ATGGAGTGTAGAGGTAAGGATAGATGCAAGGTGCAACGTGCAATATGAGTATATAAAGTATGGAGTGTAGAGGTAAGGATAGACGCAAGGTGCAACGTGCAATATGAGTATATAAAGTATAGAGTGTAAAGGTAAGGATAGATGCAAGGTGCAACGTGCAATATGAGTATATAAAGTATGGAGTGTAGAGGTAAGGATAGACGCAAGGTGCAACGTGCAATATGAGTATATAAAGTATGGAGTGTAGAGGTAAGGATAGACGCAAGGTGCAACGTGCAATATGGGTATATAAAGTATGGAGTGTAGAGGTAAGGATAGACGCAAGGTGCAACGTGCAATATGAGTATATAAAGTATAGAGTGTAGAGATAAGGATAGATGCAAGGTGCAACGTGCAATATGAGTATATAAAGTATAGAGTGTGGAGGTAAGGATAGACGCAAGGTGCAACGTGCAATATGAGTATATAAAGTATTGAGTGTAGAGGTAAGGATAGACGCAAGGTGCAACGTGCAATATGAGTATATAAAGTATGGAGTGTAGAGGTAAGGATAGACGCAAGGTGCAACGTGCAATATGAGTATATAAAGTATAGAGTGTAGAGATAAGGATAGATGCAAGGTGCAACGTGCAATATGAGTATATAAAGTATAGAGTGTAGAGGTAAGGATAGACGCAAGGTGCAACGTGCAATATGAGTATATAAAGTATGGAGTGTAGAGGTAAGGATAGTTGCAAGGTGCAACGTGCAATATGAGTATATAAAGTATGGAGTGTAGAGGTAAGGATAGATGCAAGGTGCAACGTGCAATATGAGTATATAAAGTATGGAGTGTACAGGTAAGGATACATGCAAGGTGCAACGTGCAATATGAGTATATAAAGTATAGAGTGTAGAGATAAGGATAGATGCAAGGTGCAACGTGCAATATGAGTATATAAAGTATAGAGTGTAGAGGTAAGGATAGACGCAAGGTGCAACGTGCAATATGAGTATATAAAGTATGGAGTGTAGAGGTAAGGATAGATGTAAGGTGCAACGTGCAATATGAGTATATAAAGTATGGAGTGTAGAGGTAAGGATAGATGCAAGGTGCAACGTGCAATATGAGTATATAAAGTATGGAGTGTACAGGTAAGGATAGATGCAAGGTGCAACGTGCAATATGAGTATATAAAGTATGGAGTGTAGAGGTAAGGATAGATGCAAGGTGCAACGTGCAATATGAGTATATAAAGTATGGAGTGTACAGGTAAGGATAGATGCAAGGTGCAACGTGCAATATGAGTATATAAAGTATGGAGTGTAGAGGTAAGGATAGATGCAAGGTGCAACGTGCAATATGAGTATATAAAGTATGGAGTGTACAGGTAAGGATAGATGCAAGGTGCAACGTGCAATATGAGTATATAAAGTATGGAGTGTAGAGGTAAGGATAGATGCAAGGTGCAACGTGCAATATGAGTATATAAAGTATGGAGTGTAGAGGTAAGGATAGATGCAAGGTGCAACGTGCAATATGAGTATATAAAGTATGGAGTGTACAGGTAAGGATAGATGCAAGGTGCAACGTGCAATATGAGTATATAAAGTATAGAGTGTAGAGATAAGGATAGATGCAAGGTGCAACGTGCAATATGAGTATATAAAGTATAGAGTGTAGAGGTAAGGATAGACGCAAGGTGCAACGTGCAATATGAGTATATAAAGTATGGAGTGTAGAGGTAAGGATAGATGCAAGGTGCAACGTGCAATATGAGTATATAAAGTATAGAGTGTAGAGGTAAGGATAGACGCAAGGTGCAACGCGCAATATGAGTATATAAAGTATGGAGTGTAGAGGTAAGGATAGATGCAAGGTGCAACGTGCAATATGAGTATATAAAGTATGGAGTGTAGAGGTAAGGACAACCAACTCTATAAAGAAAGTGGAAAGCGTTAAATAAGGGTGGTAGCCCACTGTAGCTGGAGGGTACATTTTAAAGAACTTTTTATATTTTTTTATTGCATAGTCTTTCAGTATAATTCTTTTTTATAATTATAAAAATAAATTATTTTATTGTTTTCAAAATTTTTATTTTCTAAATCACTCTCAACGTGTTTCACGGTGACTTTTTCTAGGTCATATTTACTAAATTAATTAAGACATCGTGAGTGGTTGAGGTTTTAAATACTGCAAGTTCATCAACTACTCTAGTCACCACAAATATTAAATTCCTCAACTCAGCACACTCCACTCCGTCGACAACTACTGAGTTTATTTCATACCCTCCAGCTACTCTAGCGCTGTTGTGGAGAGCTTTATTTACTGCTTACAGATGGACACGTTTTCAACTATTCTCCTATGTGAGATGGTTCTACTTACACCTATACTCCATAAAAGTGTGAGTCAATTAGCCAAACGTACAAACCATATATATATATATATATATATATATATATGCATATATATGGTTTGTACGTTTGTATGTAACGTAATTAACGCACACCCTCAGACACGCGAATGAGTATATTATGTTATAATCATAATACATACACTGAATTTTTAGTTAAACATTTTTATGCACTGATTATTTATCAAATTAGTTATACTAATTCCGGAAGAATGTTGTGGTCACAGTACAAATCCACGAACGCGAAGACTTTAACGTGATTGGAATAAAGTTTATTTTTATTGAATGACAGAATTAGTAATAATACAAATAAAACTGCACTCTTAAAAGTCTTATTGCCTTAAGTTACGGTCCATTTCAGTTTGTTTTGACTGTACAGATTTAGAGTGACTTTAGTGTGACGTAGTTTTAATTGTTTTTGGGATAAAAAATTACCTATATTAAAAATGATAAGAATCGATTCAGTAAACGATTCTGAACAAACTATTTTCTCAAAGTGCGTTAATTATGTTACATGTTGTAATATTCTATGGTACAAGCTCAACAGTCATATTTTTTTATTTTCTTATAGGGAACGATTTTTCCATCGTCAGTTATAAATAATATTTTAAATAAATTATAACTTGACTAAATATAAAAGAGAAAAAATTAAACTATTTTGTTCATATAAGTGGAATTTTAAAATTGTGTTTATTTATTTAAAATATATTGAACTTAATAAAGTACGGGATCAAAAGGCGGACTTAATGCTAAAAGCATTCTTATCAGTCAACCTAACGGCAGTGATAGAACTACAAAGGCAGTTACAAAGAAATTAAATATATATATATATATATATATATATATATATATATATATATATATATATATATATATAAAAATATATAAAAAATATAGTATAAGATTATAAAGATACATAGTATACTGATGAAGCTTATTACAACTATAATGATGACGGAGCTAAGTAGTTCTGAAGGAATTTTTGAAAATGAACCCGAACATTCGTCTTAAATGTTTGTTTGCGGGTAGGTTGCCTTAATTTTTCAGGCGGGTGATTCCACAAGCGCGCTGCTTGGACAGCAAACGATGAGGATATGAAATGGTGAAGGTATATAAAGAGAGAAAGAGTCTCCGATGTTGTTTTTGGAAATTTCAAAATTATTTCTATCCAATGAATAACTTTTAATTGATGATTGAAAAATCGGCCCTCATAAAAAAATCATAAATATATAGGTACAGTACTCTCTCGCTAATCCGCCGCTTGATTATCCGACAAGTACTATAATCCGTCGTTTTTTTGGACTGGAGATTGGTCTTGATTAAGCTCTGTAATCCGCCGACAGTGAAAGTCGATAATCCGCCGTCTTACCTCTCTTTCATGCGTAAAGGTACAGACAGACGTGCTCACTACTAGCACGAAAGCGTGTTTTTATTGAGCAAGTGCTCATTAGTAGTACGTGTGTCTCAGCATTGCTAGTAATTAGCATGCTTATTTTTTCAAATCAAATCAAATCACTATATTTTCTGACAACATAGATCCATAAGGGTTAGTAAATTATTCTAATAGTAAGGGGGTTAGTAGTACTATAATTATAATAATAAATAATAAATATATATAATAAATAGTTTTGAGCATGGTCAAAAATCAACCGACGTTTTATTTTCGAGCATGCTACCTGAGGCGCGGGTGGAAGGGCGTGCTCCGAGCGCGTCTGAACTGAATAGAATTGCTTATAAGTATGTTTTATCGAATCGATCGCGATTCGCGACAGTCGCTGCGTTAATTTAAAATAAAAAAAACCCTCGATATGTCTTGTTGGGGGCAAGAAAAAACTTTGCTTTTTCTTCTTACACCATTCGCTTGCAAGCAATACGATTATTTTATTAAGTTCTGTACTAGCACTGTCACTATATCTTTGTACATCCATTTCGGCTGAGAGCCTGGTGCCAGATAGCACGTCTCATGCTGTAAGCGTGCTTATTGCTGACAAATGTTGCAGAGCAAGCTCATTTTAAGCAAGCTTATGAGCATGTTTTTTTTTGAGCACGTCTGTACGTACCATAAGACGAACAGAATTCTATACTTCGCCGAAAGGTGCTAAGCAACCACTCTTTCCGGACTAAAAATGGTTAGTTAGCCGGACAACTCTTCAGACGAAGAAGTCATGCTTCATGCCGTTATCATTGTCAAATATGAAGACGCCCTTAATAGCGTAGATATTTTATTAAATGGGCCCAATAAAATGAAAAGTAATGCGATATGGTTGAAGGTTTCCGTGAAATGCGCGATGTAGTTATAAGCAAGATATATATTGGTAAAAACAAGCAAAGTTAGACCCATATTTTTCCAAATATATGAGTAATTACTTTGATAAAAGATTCATGTTTTTTGATTTCTTAAATACAGTATAATAAATCATAAATAATTTTTTTCAATGTGTTGTTCCTGTACATTACGCTGTTTTCAGTATTTCCCCGATTATGAGGATTATATGGTGGCGGATTAGCGGGAAAGTACTGTATTATGATCAGTTAAACATGATAGTGTAATAATGGCCCAATTTAATTTTGTTTCAAACTCAAGTTGCTCTCAGTATTACGAAATTAATGGCGAGCGCCCTGCCCCTAGATTACCTCGTGTGGGATTTGTTTTGCTTGAATAGACATTTGAGGTGTAAGTACTGAATACTTACTGTGGTTCTTAACTGCTGACCTTATTAGGAAGCTCAAAGTTACACAGTTTAAAAAAATTGTAATAATGAAAAAATGTATTCTACATGTCCGCTGCCTCAATACGTGTTCGCGGGCTTCGAAAGTCGTCTAAATATTTTTTTTTAATTTGTCAGACATGCAGGTTTCCTGACCATGATTCCTTCACCGAAAAACACGTAGTTGATTAGCTTAACATTTCAAATACATAATAAGTTAAGTAGCTATTGCTATCAATATTCAAATTATCAATTTCATTGATGCTGTTGAGGATTGAACTCAGTTTGCAAGTGTAATGTTAAATTTTAAGGCCAACTTATATCTTACCAAGTGAACTGGTTAGTATTAAATAACGTACGGTAATCAACAGGAATGGTACAACATTCGAAATTCTGAAAGGGAGGAAGTTTTAAGGAGAGCTCTCGCTAGAAAAGCCGCTCGTCAAGCGGCTCGCAAGCAGCACCGAGCCGAGCGTATGATACCTTTCCTGCAGCATCTGAATTTTGTTCTGTATTGGCCAAATGCAACACATGCACATCCAGAACTATACGAGAGATGGGATGCGCACAGTTGAGTTACTCATTGAAACAATTACTATCTTATTCATTAATCACGTCGTTTTAAGTAACGCTTAAAGTTCTCTCGCTCTAGCTCTCTCTATCTTCATTTCTCTTCGCTTAGTGACAATAGAAAGAGACAGACACTAATATTTATTTTAATAAATCAGTCAGGATATCTCAAAAATGAAGTTTCAAGAAGATGAAAATGAATAAGTGACAACAATCACAATTATAAATTTAGAGATAAATAATAAATTACATCAACCTCTAATCCATATCGGACCGTAGGTTTCACAAGAGGCGACATAGAGTAACTGTAGCATGAGATGAGCAGCAGCATCTGCCTGATACAACATCTGTTATGTTATATGGTTAAACTGCCATCTATAGCAAACCATGAGATTTCTTGATCTTTCCCGTAATCTGTCACGACAGTGAGGGCTCATATCGACATCGTCATGATACTTTGCGCAGAAAAAAGTTTTAATAGAAAATAGCGATTTAAACGGCATTAATTTTTTAGATATAATAATGGTCGGCCGTGAAGAAATACTGCTGACCAGAGAAGTGGCAGAAGACGTGCTATATGCTGGCGATGCTCCTATGAACGAGGCTTCTATGCACGTATTACTTTCAGCACCGGCCCTCGCTATATGCTTTAGGATATTGGATACAGATAAACATTTTGTTTGTATGTACGGCTAGGAATTATTATGACTTAAGTTTGCTTTACAATTGTTATCTGAAAACGTTAAAAAGTCTTAAAAGTTACAGCCTATATACGTTTTACTGCAATGCACAGACCTCCTCTCATTTTTGAAAGGGTTTTAGAGCAAGAAAGTGTCCATCGTGCTGCTGCAAAATGTTGGCGAACTTCACACGTCCTCGAAATCACATACTCTGCATAGCTGCAGAGTGGCTCTATCACGTATAAAAATTTATATTAAAAAAGTAAAAGTAAACATTTGTTCATTACATTCTCCAATTGTGTTGCTTGTACCAACACAGACTCCACAACTGAAAATGAGTTCATCCACTGAGTTATAGTTAGTCCGTTAATAAGTTTATATTATGATATTGTTACTGTTTTTTTTCCAGCATTAGTACGAAAGATCCTTTACGAAGAAATACCTCCGATTGACGAATCTAAGCCTTTAGCTGATCAACCGCCACAGAAAACCGCATTTGACCTTTATAAGTCTTACAGTCTTCCGAAAGAAGAAATTTGGCAAAAGCGTCGAGAGGAAAAGATGAACAGGAAGGTAGTCTTTAATTTAATAAAAGAATCAACGCATCAATATTCATCAATATTCAGTTGCTATGAGGTAATAAAGTGGTTTAAATTTAATTATAATAATATAACAAAGAGCGAACTTATGGTTTTTAATTCAGGCACTGAAAGGCAGCTCACTATGCCTACTGGTAAGATTTGTGATCGTCCTTTGAACAGAGTCGTAAAATTTAAGTACCTAGGCCACTGGGTAACAAAGGACTTAGAGGATGACTTGGATATAGAAAGGGAACGCAGGACGTTGGCTGTTCGCAGTATGCTGGCCCGCAGGTTCGCACGATGTACTAAAGAAGTTAAAGTAACTCGTTTTAAAGCGTATTGTCAGTGCTTTTACACGTGCAACTTGTTAGTTAGATATACGCAGCGGACATACAATGTCCTGCGTGTCCAATACAATAATGTGTTCAAGGTGTTGTTAGGATTGCCGCGTTATTGTAGTGCCTCTGCCATGTTCGCTGAGGCACACACTGCCTTGAGGATGGCTTTCATGCCATTATACGTGAAAGGTCTGCTTCATTACTGATTCGATTACGTACCTCTACCAACAGCATCCTGCATACACTTGCTGATAGGTGAGATTCTACCATTATGAGGCACTGGTTGAGCCATCATCTAATATTAAATAAAATTAAATAAAGAATATATTTGTAGTGTACGAGGGATGTTTAATTTGTTAACAAAACAAAACAAAAGTAAGTGACAAAGTCTGAATGAATATCATTATTATTATTTGGGGTATGCATATAGTTTTCTCATCTGGTTGGGTTCTGTAAATATACTATAATTATAAATGAAAATGAAAGGATAAATATACATAAATATCAAGTAAATTAAATAAATACAAAAAATAAAAATAAATAAAAAGCCCAACCAGATGGAAGCCCTCGGCAGGGGAGACCAAACGGCCGAGGGTTAGGGGGAAAGGGAAAGAAACCGGCGGATGATGCGGGCGGTATCAGCCTTTATGATGTATCTCCTATAGTTGTTGGTCTTAATGACCTGATCTTGTATTGCACAGACAAAACCCTCGGTTTCCCCGAAGAGGTCACTGAAACGTAGACAGTTGAGGGAGGCCACTGTATCTACGAAGGTCTCATGTAGAGCCCTGTAGTAGCCGTGGAGCTCCTTCTCCTCCCATTCGGTCTCCCGGTCGAAAATGCTTTGTACTGCTGGGTCCTGCCATTAGTCGTTGGCTAAGGATAGAGGGGTAAGCCCTTTATCATTAGAAATGACATTAACCCGCCACGCTTTCGCGGCAAATACAGCCTCATTACCGACGATCTCGGATGATGCATCTTATGGGACGTCATGGTAGTGCGGACTTTTCTATCCAGGGCATTAAGTTCAGTTTGAGTCCACCTGAGTATGCCAAAGGTATACATGAGGACAGCCATGACCCAACCGTTATATACGTGTGTCTTTTTCACACCAGACAAGAGGCTGTTAAGCAATTTGGTCAAGCGTGCATAAATCACGTCGCAAACTGACTGTTTCATACCAGCTTCATCTATACCGATGTTCTGTGATATACCTAGGTATCGGTATGTTTCAGCTTCGGAAAGGGTCCTTAAGTTGACGGGTATATATAAGTCTATGCCCTCAGAGTTATAAACCCTTCCCCTCTCAACATGGAGGACCGCACACTTTCTGTCCCCAGGTCCATTCCAATCGAATTGCTAAATTCGGAAGTGATGTTTAGCAATTTCGTTTTCTATTTCGTTGTCGTCAATTTTTTTTAGAATAACTTGAGGTCATTCATATAGAAAAGGTGGGTCACTTTTGTAACTCCTTTCCGAAGTTGAAATCCCTCCCGGAGCCCTCCAGTAAAGTAATGAGAGGGTTCAAAGAGAGGCAGAACCAGATTGGACTCAGACAGCCGCCCTGGAAGATACCCCTTCTTATCCAAATGCGACTTTCTGCAGCCGTCATCCGGTCGCCCAGATAACAAAGGATCGTACAAGATTGCCCCATACACTGCCCGAGGAAGTCTCTAATTATTATTATTAACAACATCTATTACTATTATTATTATTAACATATCATCCGCAAATATGTTTTCTTCTTCTATCTAGAAGCCCCATATTGTAACAGCCTGGGAAAACCGATACAAGTAAATAATTCTATAATATGGTAGGGCATACGAATTACCACGAAATATTTTTTCATTAGCAAATCTAAAATGGTTGATGTTGTATATTCCTTTTGATATTTTTTGGATTATTTTTGTTGTAAATTATCAAAAGTAATATAATATAATGTTTGGTTTATTTACTTATTTAATTATATAGTTATTTATTAATTGATGTTATGTTTCTATAATTCTGGCATAGTTAATAATCAACTATCAGAGGTATACGTAGGTTTCGAATAGGTTCCAAAGGATCAATGTCTATCTAAATATATCATGTTCAGTCATGAGACTCGCACCAAATAACGTTATTGTTATTTTTTATTTTGTAGTAGGCTGAGGCAGAATTAAGATTAATTTATATTCTTTTTATAAGAAATTTATAAACACTGTACTGTTTATAAATTTCTTATGTCTGATTCTAGATTGAAATATAAAACACTAAGTACGACAATCCTTTAAAAATGTTTTTGTTTGTTTTAATCATTAAAATATTCATCATCATCATCATCATTACAGCCCTTCACAAGTCCACTGCTGAACATAGGCCTCCCCCAAGTAATGCCACAAAGCTCGATCCTGAGCCACCTGCATCCATCGACTTCCTGCATGTCTTACCAGGTCGTCACTCCATCTAGTGGGGGGTTGCCCTGCACTACGCCTACCGGTACGAGGCTGCCACTCGAGAACATTACTTCCCCATCGGTTATCGGTTCTTCGAGCTATATGGCCGGCCCATTGCCACTTCAGCTTACTAATCCGTTGGGCTATGTCGGTCACTCTGGTTTTACTGCGGATTACCCTCATTTCTGAGTCTATCACACAGAGAAACTCCGAGCATAGCCCTCTCCATAGATCGCTGAGCGACCTTGAGCGTCCTCATACGGCCAGCAGTGAAGGACCACGTCTCAGATCCGTAAGTCATCACTGGCAACAAGCACTGGTTATACACTTTAGTTTTCAGAGATTGAGGTATACCTGACGAGAAGATGTGTCGTAATTTCCCGAACGCTGCCCAGCCGAGTTGAATCCGTCGATTGACCTCTCGGTTGAAGTTGGAAGTCGGACTATTAGTCTCAGGTAAACGTACTCGTCAACACCTTAGAGCTTAGAGTTCCCAACAACTCCCGGCATAGGTGTGACATGGACTTTAAACAGGATCTTTGTTTTGTCCATGTTCATCTTAAGACCTATCCGTTGGGAGACACCATTGAGGTCATTGAGCATAGTGCTAAGGTCCTCCAGGGATTCTGCCATAAGGACTATATCATTGGCAAATCGAAGGTGAGTGATGTACTCGCCATTGATGTTAATACCGTATCCTTTCCAGTCCAGTAGCTTGAAAACGTCTTCCAACGCAGCGGTGAAGAGTTTCGGGGATATAACATCACCCCGTCTTACACCTCTCTGCAGTTGGATAGGTTTCGAACTCTGGTTCTGTACTCGGATTGCCATCGCAGCCTTACTGTACAAACACTTTAGCACTTCGATATACCGACAGTCAACTTGGCACCGCTGAAGGGACTGTAGCACCGCCCAAATTTCGACGGAATCAAAGGATTTCTCATAGTCCACATATGCCAGGCAAAGTGGCTGATTGTACTCTTCGGTCTTCTGTAAAACCTGCCGAAGGGTATGTATGTCTATGTCTATGTTATGGTCTATGGTACTGAAGCCTTTTCGGAAACCGGCTTGTTCGGGAGGCTGGAAGTCGTCAAGTCTGCGTGCGAGACGACTCGTAATGACTCTCGAAAACAGCACGTAGACGCGGCTCAGAAGGGAAATCGATCTGTAGTTCTTCAAGAGAGCGTTGTCGCCTTTCTTAAAGAACAAGACCGCCGCACTTCTGCTCCACGCCTCCGGAGTAGTGCCACCATGGAGGTCGGAATTGAAGAGCTTCTGAAGGACTTCAAGTACCGGTGTTCCACCCGCTTTCAGAAGCTCCGCTGTAATTCCATCCTCGCCCGGGGCCTTGCCGTTTTTAAGGTGGTAGAGAGCCATTCTAATCTCGCTCAGACTGACGTCCGAGATGTCATCGGAATAGTGTCGGATAAGACTTGCTCTTGGATCGTTACTCACACTTGCGTGCCATATATATATTGCTGCCCATAGAACCTCTCAATCTCACTCAGAATCTCAGGTGTCCCGGAAACGATGTTGCCACACTCAGTCTTCAGCTTTGACAGTTGGATCTTTCTGGCAGACAGATCTCTGGCAAAGACTTTGGAGCCCTGGTTCCGCTCGATCGCTCCTTTAATACGAGCAGTATTAAAGTTGCGTAAGTCTCGCCGCATGCATTTGGAGATCTGTCTGTTCAGTTGCCTGTATGCTGTCAAATCTGTTGACGATTGCAGCCTCATCTCCCGTCTAGCAGCCATGAGATTAAGAGTGTGATCGTAGAGTTTTTGTGTTCTTCTGCGGCGGGTCTTGCAGAACTTAGCTCCGACCGCATGGACTGTTTCCACGAGCTTGTCATTCATATTAATACTAAAATATTAAAACAAACAAAACCTAGATCCTATTTTACTAATTTTTGTCGCCATATTTGGTTTCGTTTTTTCTTAGGAACAAGCAAGAATAAGTCGCGCGAGACGTTTGTCCGAGATGCAACGTTTGGCTCGTCAAGCAAAAGAGGATGCTATACAGAATAAAAGAGCAGAGAAGGAGAAAAGGAAACTTGAATTGCTTAAAGCTGGTGTAAGTTTACCATAATACGTAAAATTTATAACAATTTAAGAGAAATCTAAAACCTTAAATTATCACATTATAATCTCCGTAGTGCCAAAAATGCTGTTTCGATACGCAATTAGTTTGCTATATCCTTTGGGCGAGGCAAGAAACAACCCCTCTTGACACTAGTAATGACGATAAGTTGTGGGTAGAGTTATTTTAAGAATCTTCATTTATAGATTCTGATGACTTCGCTTGCGGAACCCACTTACTGAAAGTCATTACTTTTTACATTCCTTTACATTTCAGCCTTACATTTGCGCAATTTACTTTGTTCAAACGCCTCTGATGTTTACTTGCTTATTGTTTTATATTTTCCACTCTATGCTTTGATATTTATGTCTGGAATAGTTTATATTGTTTCGACAGTGAAAATATAACTCCGATTAAAGTTGTTTTCTGTCTTAGTAGCAAATCTTGGATTAATATCCAAAAAGGGGAATTCCAGAACCATTTCTTTCACTCCACTCCATTTTTACACAGCCACCTGCATGCCTCCAAACTAATCGAAAACAACGGCCGAAATGAACAACGCTAGTCTGACCAGGCAGCGCGATATGTTGACGCGCTAAAACCTTTTGATCTACTGCCACCCGCGCGATAACACCCGCACACGCAGCCCGAATCTTCGCGACGATAGCCGATAATATCCGGTCACATCTGCGTGTATCGTGTCGCTTTGTGGCGATAGACGCAGACGCGGCCCTAGCATTAGGAGATAGCCTACTAATCTGTTTTTACTATTATATAGGGAGCATTCTAATAAAGCGTGACGGCGCTTAGCAAATGGATTGACGATCGCAGTTCCTCGTATCTTTGGCGCTGTTGCCCTTCGTCCATCTGTGTATTTTAGGTTTGGCGTAAAAATAGTTATAACGCAATGAATGTATCAAGAACTTTGTGACATTTCCCATAGTCATCTCTTACGACGTCCACGATGTCGTTACAACACGGTGTGCTCCAAACTATATGCATAGAAACTGTGCGTGTAATTGTGTACGAAGTCATACTTCTTTACGAAATAATATCATTCTTCTTTTTTATGTTTTACATAGGTAGGTTAAATAAAAGTATACTCTTGCAGCACTGGTGGTGAAACATTACATGAAAACGTGACGTTTTAGAATTTTAATACCGTACTAAATTTCTTTACTATGTCGATAAAGAAGTTTCACATCAAAAATATATTTCAGAATCTCGCAGCTTTGGACGATCTCGAACGAAGTTCCCTAGATATCGTAGTCGATATAACGATACCCGAGGTATGAGTAAAGTTACTTATTTATTCGCAATCTCAATCAAATTCCTTATTTGTGTTCTCCTTAATGTTTTCCTCTTATTAAGTAAATCGAAGATGCGTTAAAATAATAGTGTGAGAACAGTTGTTCAAATAAATCTCTTGCTTACGCAAATAATCACTATAAGGAATATGACAGCGTACCGAACTATGCATTCAATATAGCGTAGCTGCAATTCCGAATTGCGTTTTGTTCATAATAACGTAACAGAGTAAAGTGAATGTGATGGATGGATGGATGTACATATTAACACCAAAAAAGATACCAACCTTATTCTCAAACATCACTCTACGTATAGTGACACAATGATCTTATAGGAAAAATAGAATAAGACCATTGCAGTGACATAACACAAAAATACAAAAAATGTCAAACGGAGTAGAGATTGTCGCCAAAGAAGTTGAAAATATTGCCAACAAATAAATAACGACAGCTTTGCTAAATTTTATGTAATTTCCAATGTTCCTTTTCAATAGTATGTGAAGCGTGTGTCAAGGCAAAAGAGCGTTTATTTGATATTTTGTATATAAGATATCTGTGTTTTATGTGTCAATGTGGAGCTGAAACTGAAATGCAGCTCACAAACCTAATATTTAATGAATTAAGAGCTAATTTCGACATTTAGTGTTATATAAAAATTGTATTTTAGAAGCTATCCGATGACGAAATAGTAGAAAGTAGCGAAGAAGAGGATGAGAACGAGTATTTTCCACCTCCAGGCCTCCTAATACCAGGATTTTACGCTCCACCGAATGACGTTGCTAAAGTAAATGGCTTGGCTATATTATTTCCAAAGGTAGGTTTAACCTCATTTGTTTAAATATCGTTATGAAGGTTAAAAAATTATTTACAAGGCATTACTACACTTTAAATATTACTTACTTACTTACTTATCTTCACGCACTATTCCTAACGGGGTAGCCGGAGAGAACAGATCGCCAATTGTCACGATCCTTACATACCTCTTTCGCTTCTTTCAGGTTCATTATCTTCTTCATACATGCACGTCTAGGTATCCGAGTACTCTTGACCTCCCCTCTTCGAGTAATTTGCTCACATGGTCTTCGAAAGTTAGTCTCGCTCTAGCTCGATACCTTTTAATATTTACTTTCGAGCTATATCGGGTGTCCGGTAATGAATGGATAACCTTGAAATGTCTTATAGTATAACTTATGGCCGTTCTGAAAAAAATAGGAAAAATAATATATCACAAGTAGTACCTTTGATATATATTTTTTTTAAAGAAAAGTCGATTTTCTGATCTTATTTTACTGTCTTGAAAACTATGACCAAAAATGAATTATTTCTATTGGTTTTTCTGTTGTTTTATTATTATACACTAACTGTGCTTATAGGTAAAATGTAAACAGTATGAATAGCTTTTGCAGTTTTTATTTAAAAAAATTCGCAAATTAATTTATTTCTGAAAAACATGCAAAAAATATTATTTAAGCGAAGTTCAAACCTCTTGGGTATGAAAGAAATGTATGAATGTATGGGTGATCAATAATTTTACAATAATGTCTGTTTTGGGTAGATTTTATAATGGTATAATTCATAAATGTATCTTCCATAAATAGTGACTTATTGCCATTAATGTAGAAAAGGAGAAAATTTGACTAAGTAACAAAATTTGTAATATGGGAACATTTATTAAACTGAATTGTGTCTGATCATTGGGGATTAATAAAAAACAACATTTAAAATTAAAATATTTTATTTTTCGTTAATTTACAACAAATGTTCAAATTGTTTGCCTGACACTCTTATGCATGCCCTACATCTTCGGATAAATGATCTGAGCAGTCTAGTGTACCGTCGCTCGCATATTTTTGATGCGGCTTCTTTGTCACGACTGCGTAGTTCGTCCAAAGACCGCACGGGCTTACAGTATACTTCCTCTTTCAGACAGCCCCAGTAAAAAATCCAATGGATTTAGATCCGGTGAACGTGGAGGCCACAAAATTGGCCCTAGACGTCCGATCCATCTATTTGGGTATCTGCTATTTAAATATGCACGAACCGGAACAGCATAATGCGCAGGACAACCGTCATTTTGCAGCCAATACGATTCCCTCAGCTCCTCGGGAACCTCTTGTAATAAATTGGGGAGATCATTTTGAAGAAACTCCAAATAACTTTGCCCCGTTAAATTCCCCGGTAATTCAAATGGGCCAATTATCATACCATTTAATATTCCGGTCCAATAATTTATTTTAAATTGGTATTGTGACCTGTCTTCACGCATAAGATGGGGATTTTCTAGTTCGCAACTATGTAAATTGTGTAAATTTAAGTAACCATCTCTTTTAAGCGTTGACTCATCGCTCCACAAAATTTTATTAAAAAATTGCGGGTCTTCTTCCATCTTTGCCAGCATTTGCCGGCAAAAACGGGCTCTTGAGAGATAATCTCTTGGTTGGAGAGTTTGCACGCGTGTAACGTGGTAAGGGTGGAATTCGTTTTTATTTAAAATATCCACCACGTCTTCTACATCAGGACGAGCGATTCTTCCAGCGCTAGCACCACCGACACCACTACCCGGCATTCTTCCTTCAGAGTAACAACCGTGGACTCTTATAAATACACGCCAGTCTGGGTGGCGAGCATTAGGGTACCTCTCCCTATAAAGAGCTGCGGCTGCATTTGCGTTGCCTCTGCATTCTCCATAAATAAAATGCATGTTTGCATATTCTTGTGCCGTGTACTGATGACGTGGTATTTTGATAGGTACACAAAAGTCCAGTTTAGTCCAGAAACAAGCCAAATCGTCGCAAATATCACCAAAAGCAAAACAAGTCCAAATCAATAAGAAAAACAAATAGTCCGGTAAAATAGCCAAGTGGTCGTTTTAACACTGATTTAAATAATTGCAAAGGAGACAAAATAAATACATGCGAAGTCGAGCAGGTCGTGTGACGCACTAAGTTCTCTTTTACATTTAGCTCTTCTCTCTCCCACTTACCCAATTCAGACCTCTCTTTGTCTAACACAAAAGGCAGCAGGTAGCAAATATGAAGGTCACACGATCCATTTCACGCTAGTAAAGTAACCATTTCAAGATTTAAATTGGTTATTTTATTACTTTTAAATAAGTTAATTTCTAATACTTAATTTGGTTTCAATTTGTTTAAAAATAGCTGTTTTCATGTATGGTCAACTCCTCATGTGTTTTTATTAATTCCCAATGATCAGAGACAATTCAATTTAAAAAATGTTTCAATCAAATATTACAAATTTTGTTACTTAGTCAAATTTTCTCCTTTTGTACATTAATGGCAATAAGTCACTATTTATGGAAGATACATTTATGAATTATACCATTATAAAATCTACACGAAACTGATATTATTGTAAAATTATTGGTCACCCATACATTCATACATTTTTTTTAATACCCAAGAGGTTTGAACTTCGCTTAAATAATATTTTTTGCATGTTTTTCAGAAATAAATTGATTTGCGAATTTTTTAAATAAAAACTGCAAAAGCTATTCATATTGTTTACATTTTACCTATAAGCATAGTTAGTGTATAATAATAATAATATAACAAAAAACCAATAGAAATCATTCATTTTTGGTCATAGTGTTCAAGACAGTAAAATAAGATAGAAAAGAATCGACTTTTCTTTAAAAAAAATATATCAAAGGTACTACTTGTGATATATTATTTTTCGTATTTTATTCAGGACGGCCATAAGTTGTACTATAAGACATTTCAAGGTTATCCATTCATTACCGGACACCCTTTATATTTTCTTCACCATTCGGTCTTCACCCATTCGCTCAACGTGCCCAAACCATCTGAGTACGCCCCTATCAATATTTGTGATAAGGTCATCTTTCAATCCTGCCATATTGCGAATCTCTTCGTTTCGCTTTCGGTCGGCTATGGTAACGCCGCACATTTTACGGAGAGATCGCATCTCCACTGCATTCAACTTGCTTTTATGCTTCTTCTGGTATACCCAGGTTTCGCTGCCATATAAAAAGTCGGTACCAACACTGCGTTATGTATTGCAAGGCGTGCACTCTTTACTACGCCTTGCCTTTTGACTAATGCATTCAGGGCACCATTGACTTTGTTCCCGGCAGCGACACGCCTGTCCACATCTAAATCACATCTTCCATCCCGGCTGAAAGCACTCCCCAAGTATACAATTTCATTTACCTGTTCTAGACATTCCTGATTTATCCATATTTCACATTTCGTTCTCTCTTCGTCCTTTTCAAATACCAGAACCTTAGTTTTATTAGCATTCAAACGGAGACCTTTAATTTTACATTCTTTCATACACGTGACTAATTCCAACGGTTCTGCTTCTGATGGTGCATTAAGCATTGCGTCATTGGCATACAGCAGACAATTTACTTTAATGCACCCAATTTCACACCCAAACAGCTATTTTTCTGCTTCTGTAAACAGCTGTTGAGATACAGTATGAACAGCCAGAAAGACATGACACAACCCTGTTTTACGCCCGCTTGGACGCTAAACAGGTCCGCACACAGGCTTTACAGTCATAGTAAAGTGACTGCACAGCCCTTAACAATCAGCCATCCACACCATATTCCGGCAACAGTTCCCACATTTTCTTCCTTATAACCTTAGCAAATGCTTTCTCCAGATCCACAAAAGCACAGAAAATCCTCTGGTTAACAGTCAGAAGCTTTTCCGTGATCATGCGGAGAGAAAACATTTGATCCGTGCATCCTCTTCCAGGTCTAAATCCGCATTGTGCCTCCCATAAGAATCTTTCTGATTTCTCTTGCATCCTACGTGTCAAAACCTTCGAGTAAACTTTACTTGCTAAACTGGTCAAGCAGATCGCCCGATAGCACCCGCAGTCAAAATGTGAACCTTTACCTTTATATAAAGGCACAATGACCGCGGATCGCCAGTCATCCGGAACACTTCCCGTCCGTCAGGATAAATTGCACAGCAGATGAAAGCTGTCCCAGACGCAAGGCCCACCGTACTTGACCATTTCAGCTGTAACTCTGTCTAGTCCCGCAGCCTTACCACATTTCAAACTTTGAATCGCACGTTCAATCTCTTTCATACTGATGACCTCAGTGTCATCGCGGTCCGTGTCTGGCGTGCCAGTCACGGCGTCATCCCCGGATCCTTCACTGAGATCATGACACGCATACATTTCTCTATAAAATTCGCTCCATCGCTGCATGACGTCTGATTTTTCTGAGAGGACGTCATTGGTTTTCGAAAGCACTTTGTTCATTTTTATGGCTGTTGCACCACTCCAAGACCTTCCAACCTCTTTCCAGAAGAGTTTGAAGTTTTCCTTAAAGTTGTGCTACAACCTTTCATCGGCTTCTATTCTACACCTTTCACGTACTTCCTCAATCAATGTTTTCGCATGAACATTCTGCAGCTTATATCTGTCTTTCATCTTCTCTCACATATGCTTATCGTTACAAGATGCCAAGTAGTCTAACCTTGCTTTTTTCTTCTTCTTTACAGCTTCTCTTACTTCATCATTCCACCATGCATCTCTTCTTTTACTACTACCTCTTTTTGTCGTTCCACATACTTCTTCCGCTGCACTTACCATTCCATCCCTAAGATTCTGCCATGTTCTTTCCACACATTCTTTTCTGCCATCGATGGTTTCAAGCTTTTCGGCTACCCTCGTGTGATATTTGTCCTTAGTATCCGCTTCCTGAAGCTTCCAGCTTCGGATGCGATAGACCGACTGTGGTTCTGTTACTGCCGTCCGGTGGCGCTAACCCGCGAACAAACCCCTAAATCTAGTAATTATTAGATAGTGATCCGTTCTCAGGTCAGCACCTCCGAACACTCATGTATCCATCACCTGTTTTCGCAGTCGGCCATCCACCAGCAACAAATCAATCATACTTTTCTCATTCTTTCTTTCTCTAGTGTACATATGGATTTTCCTGTGATTAAACATAGTGTTTGTCACAAGAAGACCCTTTTTCTTGCATACAGCCAGTATAAGCTTGCCAGCATCATTAACCCTTTTATCGCCAAACTTTCCAAGCACCGACTCGTACCCTGGTCGAGCGATAACTAACCATCCATTCAAATCACCACATACAACAGTTCTTTCTTTTTCCTTAACCAAATCTAGAACTCCTCCAGCTCAGCCCTGGACGACGAAACTACCGGCGCATAAACAGCCAAAAGGAGTAACTTCGTCAGTCCTAGTTTAAAGCGAACCCAGAGAAATCTTGAGTTCACAACCTTATATTCATAAGATCGACCAACCGGGACGACAACAGCACCCCCACTCCCTGGCAGGCGTTCTCACTTTCCGGGACTCCGGACCATATAGCTAACGTCCTGCCAGGGAGCTCTTCAGTACCACTGCCTTTCCGTTTGGTCTCCGACATACACACGACATCTAATTCTCTTTCTTTCATTATTTCGATCAACTCATTCGTCTTATCTCTCATGCCCCTTCTAACATTCCACGTGCCAACTCTGCACTCCGTCCTCCACCTTCCGCCGTGTCGGGCTGTGCATGATGGGTGGCGGTCCCCATCACCGCTTTACGCGCTGCATTCCACACCAACGGGGACGAGCTGGTGTGAGTCGCCTTGGGGGACGCCCTAACCCTCGTTTGCATGGGTGCGCAGCTGTGTAGAATTGCATTTTAAATATTAATACCATTGATTAAACGGGTTGGGTTCGAACTGCAAACTCAGAAAGTCGTAGGTTCGAATCCGCCATTCAACCATTCTTAACACAGAACTTTTAGCTTTTAACGGGAGTATTTGTAATTTTTATTAGAGTTACCAGTCTATTATCTATCTATTACAGCCTATAAAAGTCCACTGCTGAACATAGACCTCCCACAAAGACCTATATTATATTCTCTATGGCCTCCCCCCATAGATTGTCTCATTGGAGGGACTTTGTCATAGTTGACACGCTTCGTAAGCGGGCTGTCAACCGCAGGTTTTTTAATATTTTTATTAGTTATGTTTAAATTACTGCTGCCCAACACCTGTTTCAATTTACCCCTGCTCCTCTTATGACACGTATTCTTTAAAAAAATCTTGCCTCATAAATGCAATTCTGAAACGTCGTGTAGCTGCTGCTGCTGTATTATGGCTGGAGTATATACTGAGTTCTAAATATCCTTTTGTTTATTGTTGTGATAAAATAAAATAGGTGTCAGGACTCCTAGAAATCCATCTAGGTACGTAACACCCTCTAATGGATGCCATACATGATCCATTTTACCGTCAAGTTTGCAGCGCGCTTGAAGCCTGCAATGTATGCCTATCAGTGTGCATGACAAGTATACTTGAAGCACAAATTGAAATTAGATTCTGCAGACTTGATCAAACTTGCAGCGTCATGTAAACTTGAACGTGTGTATGAGCGGTCAAGTATGCATGACGTCCGTTGGAGCAATAAGCGAGAGACGCCATGGTTACAACTGGTATCATGCAAACTTGACGGCGAACTTGAACGTGAGTGGTCTATATAAATGCACTGCAAACTGGACGCCGCTTCAAGTGCGCTGCTAACTTGACGGTAAACTGGATCGTGTATGGCATCCATTACCCATTCGAGCCGCCAAAATACAATACAGTGACTGCACACTGCTATGTTCCGGATCGAAAGGTGAGATTAAAGTTTTCATTAAAGTTGGCTGTAGGTGTCTATGGATCGTAAGTTCGTTGGTCGTTTAATTTTTTTTAATTAAAGAATTAAAAGTGAAAATGACTTACTAGCTGAGAGTCAACCTGCTGGTAACTGGATCGTAAACAACGTTAGCCTATATAGGGGTATATTTGCCATAGTTAAATTTATTATTTTACGTATTGTGCAGGTAACGGTTTTTTTAAATTAAGCAACTTCTTGAAATGCCATTTAAAAATGCTGAAACCGATTGAATTGAAACACATTGCTGAAATACTGTGTACCGATGGTTGCTTGGCGTACCGCCTAGAATAGTTGATTAAATATCACAACCGATATTTAGACTTCTTCCCATGAGTAGCGATGGTAAGGACACTTGAAAAGTTTTTGAGATGTTTAAGGTATATTTGTTTCAGATTGTCTTAGAGTACGTAACGCCTGAACCAGAGTTCCTTCCACCACATGTGCTCGTGTTACTGGACATGACGAAGAGATATAACGCTATAGAGACGCTAGCCAAGTACAAGAACGCCGTGATACACGTAAATATTCTTATTCTATCCTGTATCAGCCCGCAAGAGTCAAATTTATATTGCAGATGTGAACGGCAGAGTCCAAATTGAGAGAGAGAGGGAAGGAGAGAGAGAGTGAGAGATACCAAATTGGCGAAATATTGAAAATGGGCCATATTAGGAATATCTACTTCTGAGGGAGACTAGAGAGGTATGTCCGGATTGTGCAAATGCAAGTCCGTAGTCTCTGCCTACCTCTCAGGGTGACAGGCGTGAGTGTTTATGTATGTATTTAGGTATCAACGATATTAACTCAGAGTTATTCAACACTTTAGTATTTTCTTTTTGACAGCATTGCAGAATTAAATAAACGAAACTTGTAATGATGTCAGATACAGACTGTTTTATTTAAGTTACTAGCTAAAAATTGTCTGTCTGTAAAGTCGGTTTACGGACGATAGTTTAACGTGACAATGTAATAACAAAACATTGATAAAATGATTGCATACTTTTATGAATAAAATTGAATCATTTTTATAGAATTATCATTATTTTGTATGGATACAAAGAAGGTGTGAAATGAAATCTACAAATTAATTGAAATTTTTTTTATACGCTCAAGCCGATCGTGGCTTTCGGTCGCTCGTGCAGCGCTCTCACTCCGATCGTAACATTACAATGGGTCATCCTTTTTTATGCGTGCAGCCGGCGTTCATCGATTTATTAGATGTTGTCACGTCAAAAGTCCTCTGTTCTGTGAAGACAGAACAAGAAGGATACGGTAGGACTGAGAAAACAAATTAGAATATTTTTTATAATTAGGTATGAAAACATTTAGAAACAGAGTGGTAGTGAACACCTCATTGCCAGGGTTTATTGTCAATCATATACTCCGAGTCGAGTAACTGGTATAACTACTAACTTGTGCCTGTTCCCGGTATTTACACAATATACATTACTATGTTAATAAAACTGTTTTTTTATGGGATAGGGTGACAAACGAGCATACAGTCCACCTGATGGTAAGTGGATGCTGCGTCCCATAGACATCTACATCTATCCTCGATTAAGAATCAAAATGAAGATGCGTTGTCACCCGTGCGGACTAATATGGAATGCCTCGTTTCCAGTAAGAAGGGTCTCCAGTTCTCTACACTCACCACACGAAACACAGCAGCATTGAGCTACTATTTTACGATGGTATTCTGTGAGAGCGTAGTCCATTCCCGGTTGAGCCGACCCATTCGTGCTACAACTATACCACTAATATAACTGCAGCATGGCTCTGCTTCATATATTCCACGTTTTTATATACATACATTAAATTTTCGTAAATATACTGACAGGCCAAAGTTAGACCCCTTTTACTGGTTACGAGGCATTCCGTCTTAGTCTTCAGGGGTGAACACGCAGTAGAATTTTTATTTTAAATTTAGAATAGATGTAGATGTCTTTGGGTCACAGCATCCAGTTATAATCAGGTGGCCTGTGTGCTTGTTCGTTGTATTAATTCTATAAAAAAAATTAGTAAATATATAGTAAATGACCCACCTTGTGACCGCCTGATTTTCGAACGTTTTCTGCGAAATTTGCGGGCGCTACTGTTTACGCGGCGGGCAGGAATTCGCAAAAAAAATACGATCTTGTGAGTTTTCAAATAAATCGCAGTTCCTCTACCGGTGCGAGCGCGGGGAATATCGCTTCGTGATTACTCAGCCATAAAATTCATATGTATTTTTAGATGGGTATATTCAAAGCGACTTCTCCGTACAGTGCCGTCCATGTTGCATACGGCGTGAAACATTTTGATTCAATGAAATTATCCATAAACTTGTGAGTAGTTTTGCCTTTGTTGTTGTCTACATTTTTGCCTTTGAGCTATCATGGCTGCTGCTCTTAGATACTTTTATTTCAAAAAATATATTAAAAATAATTATATCCGTATAACATATTTCGAAGACATGTGAAGTTCGCCAACACGCGTTGGGGCGGCGCGGCGGACACTTCTTTGCCCTAAAACCCGCTCAGAAATGAGGGGAAGCCTGTGCCCAGCAGTAAAACGTATATAGGCTGTAACTTTACTTTTAACTTTATATCCGTATAAGATTTTAATAGCGTTCCGCCGACCGTAAGAATTGACACAAGTTGTGGTGGCGTTCCGTGCAAACGTGGTCCTTACCCAGTTAAGCTGACCTATATGTGCTGTAGCCAGTGCAGTTCCGTGTTATACACAGTACCTGCCATACCTGCAGCGTAGTGGCTTCTTACTTCGACCACCGCTAGGCCACATCATTAGGAACTGTAGCAGTGTTGCAGGCTCGCCTGCTCAATTACCTTTCTGTAACATAGTGACGGACACTAGCATCTCCAGGTGCTTTCTTGAATAGGACTTAGGCTTGACTCTATGTATAATGAACTTGTTATAGTAATAAAGGCCTACAGACCAAATTTTGGTCATGGACACTTACAAAAGAGACTAGCCATCAGCATCTGCACAGGATATGATTATATTGCACGTGTGTTTGCGAAACTACTGATACACTCTATATTCTCTCACTCTTTTAAGGCACAATATTTTAAGATGCCTTTAAGTCTCGTGCGGTCTCTATCATTTAACGTCAAAGTGACTTTGACACGACTAGACTTCGTGCGGTCTCTATCACTTAATGTCAAAGTGACTGTGACACGACTAGACTTCGTGCGGTCTCTATCAATTATATTCAAAGTGACTGTGACACAACTAGACTTCGTGCGGTCTGTGTTTAACTTCAAAGTGATTGTGACACAACTAGACTTAACGGCATCTTAAAATTGAGTAGCGTTTGAGTATTTTGCAATAGTTATATAGAACTTCAATAACACTACATTGAAATACCTATAATCAATATTATAGAATTTGTTTTAACTCAACAGAGATGACTTGAAACTAGCGTTCATGTTATCTATAAAAGTGGATGTGCCGTTACTGGAACTGATGGATTTGAACCCATACCACGTTAGTCGCGACTCAGAAGCGGGCGAAGACGAGTGCGCTGCTATGTTTCCTGTAAATTATGGCGATGAGTACGCAGAGTTTGAAGATTTCGATTGAATTGTCTTAAATCTGTTAAGAAACCAAAAAAATAATTTACTAGCTCTATTAATTAAAAAATGTAATAAATGCTCTAATGTTTTTAGTCAAATTAAATTACTAGTATCAACCATTTTTGTCAGATATGGGATTTTCAATTAGTTTCGAAAGCATCACACCGGTAGAAGTTGATAACCCACTGATTTTAATCATACTAGGCTGCACTAAAAGTATCGGGAATGTAATATTTCCACTGTTCCTGTCATATTAAAATCTTTTTAATTGAAAACTCGTTGGTTTTAAAAATCGAATACCATTTATTTATTTAAAAAAGATTCTCGGTCTTGTTACAAGGTTTTGTCAAACTTGTTTAGTCGTTGAGAAAATGGAATTGATTCGAGAAAATTCAAGAGCGATGATTTATTATGACTTTCGAAGTGGTTTAACACAAAAACAGTGTGTTGACCGGATGATTTCTGCATTTGGTGATGAAGCCCCATCTAAGACCATACAATATAACATACACTAATCAATAAATAAACAACATACAATAATCTTGCATGACCAATTAGGTGTAAAAAAGTTGTTTTCCCGATGGATACCGCATTCGCTCTGTGAAGAGCAAAAAGCGGCTCGCGTTACTTGGTGCGTCAGAACTCTCGAAAGATTCCACGCAGGATCCTCAAATGTTTTATACAACATCGTATCAGGTGACGAATCCTGTATATATGCGTACGAACCCGAAACAAAAAACCAGTCACGAGTTTGGGTGTTCGAAAATGAGTTAAAGCCAACAAAAATTGTTCGTTCACGGAGTGTTGCAAAAAAAAATGGTGGCACGTTTGTCTCCAAAACCGGCCATGTTACGACTATTCCTCTTGAGGGACAAAGAACGGTTAATACAGACTGGTATGCTAGCATTTGTTTGCCACAGGTCGTTTCTGAACTCCGTAAAGAGAACTGCAACCGCCGCATCATCCTCCATCACGACAATGCTAGTTCTCACACCGCACACAGAACAAAAGAGTTTTTAGAGCAAGAAATCATAGAATTATTAGACCATCCGTCATACAACCCCGACCTAAGCCCTAATGGTTTATCTATACTTTCCCTAAAATAAAGAATAAATTGCGTGGACAGAGATTTTCATCACCTGAAGAAGCTGTGGACGCCTACAAAACGGCCATTTTGGAGACCCCAACTTCCTAATGGAATGGTTGCTTCAATGATTGGTTCCATCGTATGGAAAAATGTGTCGAATTTCGCGGAGAATACTTCGAAAAGCAATAAATACATTTTTAAATAGTAATGTTGTGTCACTTCCTTGATTCCCGATATTTTCAGTGCCGCCCTCGTAAAGAGATGTTTTTTTCAGACCCTAATCACTTAATTTGGGAGTGACAAACGTAAATTATGATAAAAACCAGCGGTGGCAAATAGAGGACAGTTAAGTATAAACATCTCGCAATACGGCCTGATATTATGTCCTGGATCTCGGATTGGATTGGGCTATACAGTAACTATAACCCACGGAGCAAATCCGTGCTATAACCCATAGGTGGAAGCTATTTCTGTTTTTTTGAAATAGTAGTGCCAGTAGGCTGCTGTAATATAATAAGGTGATATTTCATAGCAAGTTTCTACAGGAACTGTCTTTAAACTGTACCAAACCCTGTTTCATGTGCCCCGTTTCGGTTAATGTTGTTGTGAAATTGTAATGTTACATAATGAAGTTGTTAGTCGGATTTATTTGTTCTGGTATAGGTAATATCTTGACTTAACTTTTTTATTGAATAAGGGTGACAAAAGGGCACACAGTCCACCTGACAGTATTGTATGCTGTAGCCCATAGACATCTACGCTTATCTTCACGCAAGTGCGTTGTCACCCTGAGGACTAAGATGGAATACCTCCAACTTAGTCTAAGTTTCCAGTAAAAAGCGTCTTTGGTTCTTTACACTCACCATATGAAACACAGCAGCATTAAGGTGCTATTTTAAGCTGGTGTTCTGTGAGAGCGAGGTCCTACCCCGGTCTACCCGACCCTTTCGTGCTACATCCATAATACAGCTGAGTGGCTCTACCAGCGTGGTTCTACCATTTCAGCTTTTAAACTACAGCTTATATTCTGGTTTTTAGAATCTGCTATTTTACGCTGGTATTCTGTAAGAACGCGATCCTTCCCCGATTGAGTCGACCCATTGTTTGTGAAACTTGGCTTCACCATATTGTTAACTTCCACCATATATAGCAAATTTTGTCTTCTGTGGAAAACATGCATATGAACCGTCATGGTTTAGTGATTTTGTTTAAGATTAGAGAGAGAGAGAGAGAGAGAGAGAGAGAGAGAGATAAATAATGCGAAAGTATAATTTGAATATTTTTTATTGTTTATAATATGTTTAAGATAAAAAATTCTAGACTTACACGTTTTATAACAAAATCACTAACATATGTAATCATACATAAATTAATATAACATAAGTAAATTATTTGTACGACTGCATTCCATCAGTTCTATTTGCCTCATGCAGAAAATAACGCCATATATACTTTCTTAAATAGGAAGTTTGTTCTTTCACTGCCTCTAGTATCTTTTGGTTTATAGCCAAAAGTCTCTCGTCCACCATAACGTACCTCGGTCGTATAAGATTGTCGGGACCTTTAACGCATGGTATTCCTTCTAAAGAAGATCCTGCAATCTGAGGATAGTTGACGGCAGGGTGCATTTTTGAGTAACCATTATTATAGTCAGTGAGAACAGTCTCCAACCACTCGCAGGAAAATTTGTTACCATCAAGGAACACAATAAGGTCATTTTTATGACTGATCCAAGCGTTACATTCTAAACTGACCATATCATTGTGTCTTATCGATAGAAACCTGAGAAACTTCAGATCTAATAGAGCTTTGGAGTTGAGGTTTGTAATCATGTTAAACGATATATCTAGGTTAAGAAGTGATGTTAGTCCTCGGAATGTACCGTATTCTATATTTTTCAAATAATTGTGGGCCAGTCTCAGAGTGCGTAAATGTGTCACCCTATAAAACGTAGAAGGGCTGATATTTTTAATTCTGTTAGAACTCAAATCAAGAAATATGAGTGTAACAGGAAGTTGCAGTGACGATTCATTCAAGCCTCCAATGATATTTTTACTCAAGTCTAATTTTGTGAGATTACGAAGATGCTTTAGTTGTATTTGAGAAGCATCTGATATATTATTAGAATGAAGTATTAATTCAATGAGACCATTTGCTTGGCCCGGTGAAACATTGAACGATGAGAGAGTATTGTTTGATAAATCTAGTATTCCTCCTGACGTATGGAAGGTAACATGAAAGCCTTCAACTTGAGTTATACCATTATATGTAATATTTAGTTGTTTTAAATTATGAGTGTAACTCAGGCTTTGATCGGGGACATAATCAAATCGATTGTTAGATAAATCAAGGTTTTGTAAATTATTCATATGAGAGAAAGTTGTAAAATCTAATCCTGTTATAAAGTTATTACTAAGATTAAAGAATCGAATGTTTGCTAAATCTGTAATGTTTACTACAAAACTGCGTAATCTGTTATGAGAAACATCTAAATTCATTATATTTGCAACGTATTGAAAACCATTATATTCAATGCGTTCTATTTCATTCTTTGATAAATCAAGTTCTGTTCTCAATCCATCAATGCGATGTTTATCAATTCTTTCTTTAAGTTCCTTCGAAGTCGCGTTTTTAATTACACTTAATTGGTTTCCAGAAAGTATTATTCTACATTTTAAATGACCTCCGAAATGATCCCAATGTCTATAGAGAAGTTTTGGCATTAATTTGTTTAATTTATTATTGGAGAATTCGAATGTTTCCAAATGATATATTTTATCTAGCGATTTATCATCTATGTTATTTATCTTATTGTTGTTAATAAACAGATGTTTTAAATTTAGAAGTTTCTTATTTATGGCGCCATTCAAATATTTTATACAGTTATTGTTAAGATTAAGCGTCTCCAGATTTGTCAAATTCGAAAAAGGTTCCTCGTTTAAGTCTTCTATTAAATTGTTTGAAAGATCAAGTTCTATTAGGCTGGTGAGTTCTTGAAAGACATAACCAGGTATTTCACTAATTTTGTTGTAAGCTAAGTAAAGTTTTTTTATTTTATTTGAATATTCGAATGTGAATAATTCATCAATTTCAGATAATTGATTATGTGACAAATCTAGTATCTCTAAGCGGCTAAGATACTGGAAAGGACGGCCATATATTTGTTTTATTTGCATATTACCAAGATTCAGATTGGTCAATCTAACTGTGTATTCCAGAAAAGAGAGGTTTGTTTGTGGCCAGTTACCGAGTACCTTTAATGAGGTTATACTCGTTAGAAATTCAGTGTCAGTCACGTTCACAAGGAAGCCATCGTAGGCGTCCTGGAGTGTCAGATCTACCATTATATCGTTATTGCTAGCACCTTGACATTCTTGACCTAGAGTAGCCCCTTTAATAGTGTTAAAACATTTGATTCGATATGCACAAAAACCAAGATGATGGTGCTCTTCTCTGGGACAGTAACCAGCAATCAGCGAAGCTGAGAGGAGGAGTAGAAAACCAGTCGTAACTGAAAGGGAAAAAATGTGGTATAGCGTATACATTTAATAGTATCAATTTTCTTACTTGTGTTTCCTTGCATTTTGGAAGCTACGGTAATTACAGAAAAGTGCTATCATACAATGTTGTTTAACGCACTCATGGAGTTATTGAAGTTTACTGCTTTAATAAGTCCATTTAGTGGGCGGCCCCAGTATCCATTAATCTATTTTTAAAGATCAGTTTATTCGCTACAACTTTATTGCTACAAAAAAAAAAGTTTGAAACAAAATTTTTTTATAATGTTCATACTTTTTGAGTTATAGGCTGTTTAATGTTGGACTACCAGGCGTAAAGTTGAAAATTTCTACGGCCGAGCTTACCGGACACTCGGCGGGTGATGCTACAGCTATGCGAATACAGCAAGCTAATCTTGAAATTTTTAACTTTACACCCGGCAGTCCAACGTTAAACGTCCTATAACTCATAAAGTATGGACATTAAAAAAAAGTTTGAAACAAACGTTGTAGCGAATAAACTGATATTTAAAAATGGATTAATGCATTTTATTTATTAAACTAATATTTGAGAGTTATTGGCCGCGATAGAAAAACGGGTTCATTAAATGGGCTATAAATTGTAAATGGTAAGTTTTACAAAAAGTTTATTGGAAACAAAATATGCGAAATTTTATTCTCTACAATAATGGTATCTATAACTTTTACCTTAAAGTGTATAGTTTCCGAGTTATCGGCTGAAAACCTTTTTTCAAGATGGCGCTTGAAGCGCCACCTGGGTCTGTCAGCATTTTGCGATTTTATGCTCAGTAAGTGATCTTAAATCTTATAAAAAATAAAAATTGGATCGGAAATTTAGTGCAAAGTTAAATTCTATTTTTACTGCACTACTTCCTGTGTCTTCAAAACGTCAAGTTTTAATGAAAACTCAATATTCGATAAACGGGGTGTAAACAATAACTTCCCGTTTTTTGGAAATTTTCCATTTTCTTAGGGGGAATGTAAAAAAAAGAACTAAATCTAAATCGCTTCATCTGTTTGAGAGCTCTATATGCCACAGACCGACACCAACCCACAGATACACAACACACGCTAGACATATAAGACCCCTCTGTTAGCGTCGGGGTTAAAAAGGAGATACAAAAAAATCCCATTATATTAATATACATACCTGTACCCATCGTGAGTGCACCTCAGTAGCGCAGCGCAGTCACAGCTTAAGTTGAATTAAATCTGAAATTTTAATAAACCATTTTGAAATTTTACTTTTTTATATTTATACATACATTATACATATACGTTACGCATGTAATTGCCGAGTGGGTAGGCTGATCTAAAGAAGCAGCGAGCACCTTGGACCACGTTTTCCGAAAAAATATGGGCTTAGATGGAAAATTATGAAAGGTCTATCGCCTACAACACAATCCCAGTATCCCATTAGTCGCCTTTTACGATATGGTGGGCAAGTTAGTTAATACATTCTATGTCCTCAGCTGTTGAACAAGTAGTACTGTCCAGAAAATAAGTACAGTAACTATTCAGCTTGGAAACCCGTAACAGATATCCCATTAATCAATTGCGCTGACTGCGCTCCATGCTAAGTGACCGAGCGTAGCTATCCAGTGGAGGATTTGGATTTTACTTAAATATTTAATCTTGTGTTAAGTCAGTTGTCAATGCGCGTAGCAAGCGTGGCAGCTGTGACAAATGGTCCCACTATGAGGTTATCTGTGGGGGAGGTCTATGTTCAGCAGTGGACTTTGAAAGGCCGTAACAGTAATGGTGTAAATAAACATAGCCATATAAATACTACCTTGAAATAATTCTAATTGGGTGACAAATTTCTGCCGCAAAGCAGTAGTCTATCGCATTTTCCTTTACCACCACTAGGTATCTACTATTTTCTACTGTATCATGGAATTTACAAACATAAATTTCAAAAGTACAAATCATCCAGACCGGGAACAATTACTTGCAAGCCATGTAAATACTTGTTTCGTGCGAGATTCGAACTCGCGACCCTTAACGCTGTAACTCGTTGCTAAACCATTGCGCCACTAATTCTAATAGTCATCATTTATTTATTTATTTATTATAACGCAAGATAACTCCACAACTAATATTTCTTCGTAGATGCCTCATAAGAGGGTATGTGCCCCAGTTGCAGTGCTTTGAATTGGGGTTGAAAACTGCAAGTTTTTATTAGTTGCCTATGCATCACGCCTGTAATTACGGAGAGGGTGGGCAATGTCCAAAGAGCAGGGAGCTATTCAGACCACGTTTAGTTATAAAATATGGGTTAAGATGGATAAGTCTGAGAAGGTGATTAGGTGATATGAGGCTAGCCTATCACCTACAGGGCCCACACAATTACAAACCCAGTATAAATCTTTAATTGCCACTTACGTATTGCTAGGCAAATAATACAGTTGGATCATACTTTTTTGTTTACAGGTACCACAAACATGGGATCTATAAAGGGACAGACCGACATGGAACAGTTTTATTAATAATAATGGAATTGTAACCAGGAAGATACTGCTGCCGATTTCCAAAATCATTGACCTTTGTCGCCTCTAACTTCAAACCATAGTGCCTACTTGTTAACGGATTTTGTTCCGTCAAAACTACATCTAGAAATCAATTATAAAGGTCTGTGAAGTATTTCATCTAACCTTACAAGAATAAATTGCATTTGCGACTTTCTTTTCTTGTAGTCGGTTGAGCTTATCCATAAATTGCACTAATTACTTACCATCACGTGGACTATTAGTTTGTTCACACTATATAATATTGATAATATGATCGCTAAAAAATTAGACAAAATTTGGATGTAATTAACAATGTAACAATAATTGCGTTCAAACGGTATAGTAGAAACAGACATGGTCCTTATTTATTACAAAACTGTTAAATATGTAATGTGATAATGTCCAAAAAGCCGAATTTTGGTCACGGTGGCCAGTCTCAACCTATATCTATGGATGGAACTGTAATCCGACTCGACCGGTAAGTATTCAGGCGCACAAAGAAATATCCTGTGATAAGCTGTTCGTAACCATAAATACTATATTTAGCCAACTTCAAAAAGGGAATAGGTTCCCGATTCGACTATACATTTTCTTCTTTTTTGTATTAATGTTTGGCTATGTCTCGTCAATCGTTACGCGATTTTAATGATTCTTTTATTATTCTTATGAACTTTGATACCGAAACCAATAAGAGTTAAAAAATAGGGGTTGAAGTTTTAAATTTAACTATATAGACGACTTACTATAAAGATACTACTAGACTTTTAATAAAAAGAAAAGCCGATTTAAGAGATATAAAATAATGAAATAATTTCACATTCGAATGTGCTTGGACCTTAAAACTTCATACTATTTTAATTATTATATTAGCAAATATGTTCAATAAGTCAATTAAAAAACAATTGCATTCAATGTGTTACACGATATATGAAATCATTAAATAATATTTTAAATTACAAAACGACGCTCTTACCTTTAAAATGCAGCCATTAGACACACGTGATAATTATGAAGAGTAGTATCGGTGTTCGGTGTGTGAACTTAAAGTCCAAAGTGTACTCACGGTCGGTATAAAATTTGACGCTCGGTTTTTTTGCTGACCTTACGAAAAGAGAACACCATATCACGTCAAAGACTATTCTATCATTATAAACAAGACGTAACAACTATTTAACGTCTAAAAAGGCATGACAAAAAAAAATCCTATTAAGATTTTGTACCTAAGAATTACAGAAAGTAGCACCATGTTTTATAAATGGTAAGTTAATATAACTTAACAAATTAAAACTAGCTAAATTTATTATTTTGGTCACAGTCCTTTCTAAGAATGTGCCAACAGGCAACCTTTCCAGAAATAGTTGGTAATATCTAATACGCCATATGAGCACACAATTAGAATCAGGCTCACGGCTTGGTATTGCTGTTTCACATTCAAAGCACCAGTTATTTGGATTTGCAGTGAGGTTAACATATTTTTAAGTGTTAAAGCCACGCTGCAGCTTTGTTATGAATGTAGAATGAATGAATCGGCTTAACCGGGGTAGGACCACGATCTTACAGACTACCAGCATAAAATAGCAGCTTTTTGTGTAGTTCTGGTGCTTGATATGATGAAAGTGGTGAACTGGGACTGGGACCGTTAACTGAAGACGCGGTATTCCATCCTTAAGAGCTGACAACGTACCTGCATTTTGATTAAGAATTAAGAATAAATGTAGATTTCTATAGGCCACAGCATACACTTATCATCTGGTGGTTTATTTGCTCGTTTCTTACCCTCATTTTTACAACCACACTTCCCAAGATTTTATAGTACTTTTTTTCTGTCTATTGTTTTAGAATTCCAATAAAGCCAACGGGATGCTTTATGAACCAAGTTACACGGGTTCTGAGTTCGAAATTCAGCTGGCGCTGCTGATTACATTTTTTAATATGCAAGTTATTTATAATCACGATTAATGTATTGCGATAATTCTCGAATATTTGATCATTTTTATAAGAACAACTTTAATGTAAGAACTATATGAGCACCACACGTGCGAATTAAGTTTTAGTAAGTTTTAGTAAGCTGGAAGAAATAGGAGTGATAACATCAAATGTACGTAAATTTGTAGAACATAAATATTTTTTATAGGATAGGGTGACAAACGAGCACATAGTCCACCTGATGGTAAGTGGTTGCTGTGACCCATAGACATACACATCTATCCCCGATTACGAATCAAAATGCAGATGTGTTGTCTCCCGTGAGGACTAAGATGGAATGCCTCGTTTTCAGAAAAAAGCATCTCCGGTTATCCGCACTCACCATACGAAACACAGCAGCATTGAGCTACTATTTTACGCTGGTATTCTGTGAGAGCGTGGTCCTTCGCCGGTCGAGCTGACCCATTCGTGCTACAACTATACTACCTTGAACTAATTAACCACTAGACCCGACATAAAACACAAATGTATGAAAAATCGTTCAACCAAGTGGAGACTAACGCACACAATGATTTTTTGATTTTATTACGTTATTATGAACACAGATACGAAATTCGTAGATGTTTATTCTATATCTTGTGCTTGAACGTAGTCGATAAAATATATCGATAAACGACTGAGAAAGAAAAGTCATATCGTAAATAAGCTGTAAGACAGAGGAAATAAAGAAATAATGATGGTGAGGCAAGCTTCCGGTATTTAAATTTTAATTAAAATAAAAGAAGCAGGACATTTTTATAGACTTTTTATTCAATTAGTTATGTTAGTTTTTTTGTTAAGTTTAAGTTATTTAAATAGGTTTACTGACATTTATTATGTATTATCTTTCTTAAAATGTGTTTCTTAGAATTTGTTTTGTTCCCTTGTTCTCTTATATAAGCAATTCTAATATTTATAAACTTTTCAGCAACGGCTTTCGTTAATTCTTTGACGTGATTCACATCGTCGTTTTCAAATTTATGGAAATGAATGTCTTCGTACAACGGAAGTTGCAGCAATATTTCTGTTACTTTCTGCAGGAGAAATTCTGAACACCCTCCGTAAGTTCGAGTTCGCAGTGCTGACAAATAGCTATGCTATCACTTGAGGGAAGTATCAGTTTTCCCTTGTCTTTATGGGCAATGAGACTGCCTTTATTGGTGTCATTTTTTGTGTCTTCGCCTTAGTATTAAATCGTAGGCAGTATCGAAATGTACACTGCATATGGCGCTGTGTGTCGTCGGAATCCAGGTTTCATCTCTACGAACTGCTTCTACCCACTTTCTTTTCCGAGAAGGGTCACTAGGAAATCTGAAAATTCGTGTAATTTATGTGTTTAAATATTTTAAGTACCGATACTAACTATAATTTTTGCATTTTTAATATTTTTATTTAATTATAAAAATAACTATTATAAATTTAATGACATCAGATTGTAGGATACTGTTATACAAGTATTTTACGTGTTATTGTATTGTACAAATAACATCATCATTCATTCGGTCATATCGTCAAATATCGATATATTTTTCGACATGGTCAAGCACTGGTCGATGTCAAATTGACTCACTCCACAGTTTTAGTCATTCGTTCTGAATGTTATAATCCAGTCATTTTGTGATGGTCGTCAGATGTCAACAATAAATAGAAATATCGACTATATTTAACATAGTTGGATAATACAA